CTAAAATTTAAAAAATATATAGGGTGTTCAATTTAAAATAAAAAAGATTTTTATGTTTAAAAAATTTCATTTTTAAAAATAATTTGCAAACACCCCGTACAACAAATAATGAATAACTAAATATTCTCAAGAAGTACATCCCATCTACTACCTCTGGTTAAAATTTTAAGTATCTGATAGATATAGTACCTGAGATAGACGACTTTAAGAAAATGTCTACCGGCGACTAAAAATGTAGAAAAAAATTGAATAACGCCAAATCCGCTATAACTAGAATAGGCAAATGGGGTATCGTTGTTTACAGAATTTCATGCTGAATCTAAAATTAAAAAAAAAATATGGGGTATTCCCTTTAAAATAACGAAGTTAGTGGTCACTTCCGGTATAACCGGAAGTTGCACAGAGTTCATTTTATTTTAATTCAAAAGAGCATATTCGATTATGTATACTCAAAAAATGGCGAAAATACAAATTAATTTATTCTCCATAAAGTTGTAATGCCCGCCTTACGTGGGACACGGTGTATAAGACAAATAAGCTCATATCTTATAAATTCAATTTTTATGTGCAATGTCGACGGTGATATGTGATTGTACAGGGTGATTCATTAAGGGTGGTGTATCAGAATATCTTGAAGTAGACTTTTTTTTAAGAAACGCAAAAACAGGTCGATTTTTATTTCAAGGGGGACACCTTTCTATAATATTCTCAACTGTCATATGTTATTCCTCTCTCTTACGTCAATCTAACTAATACAATTTAAATAGGAAAAGTACCAAGTATAACACATCGTCGGAAAGGTAATTTTATGGGGAATTCAGCAATATAACTGTTTATGTCTTTTTATCATGTGATGAGTGCAAGCGCAGCTGCCATGTTGAAATAGCGGTAATTCAAAAGTTTCGTACTGTTTTGATCAATAATGGCTGGAAAAGCAATATTATCTCTACAGACAAATCAGTCATTAGAAAAAAATCTTTGCTGGTGATTCACTTTTTTATAATTATGTGAAAGCTCATAGTTGTGAGCAATTGAACAGGTGCTTGAAGGCTCATGGACGTTCGCAAAAACGGAAAATAAATATAACTATATTTTAATTAAATATGGCAACCAACTATTAGTATTTGCAAAAACGCTTTAATTTACATGAAAGTTAATCACGAGTATAATTAATAAAATAAATTATTTAATGCTTTGAGGATGACAATTCTATTGTGTTTCTTTCAAAAAAAAATCTACTTCAAAATATTCTGAGATACGGCCGGTCGCCACCCTTAATGAATCACCCTGTATATGTATACTCGCAGAAAGAAAAGATCTCTAAAAATAAAACAAAAATATGGAATTTGAAAAATAAAATTGGGGTTGATTCTTTAAGGGGTTAATTTGTATCCATAATGTAAAAGAAACAATATTTTTGTAAAATGTTGCAAAAATAATAAATAAATAATTAATAATATGTGTGGTGAGTTGCGATTGTATAAAAAAATGGGGATGTGGATGGGCATGCGGTCTCAATGGAATATAATCCAGGAATAGACGTTTTTTAAATGTTCGGTATTCAACGTCCAAATATATTCTAGAATTGGACGTCCACTAAATGGTCAAAAGTGTGCCGTTTGTATACTTCACTGGACGTCCATTGGAAGTCGGAAGTACAGAAAAAACTAATTTTTGGACGTCCATACATCCAAAATTGTATATCGAATGGACGTCCAATGGACCTATTTGTGCTGTCTGGGCTGTTAAAAAATGCTTGTTATTTTTAAACAATAGAAATTGTCTTTATTAACCACCAGACAAAATAAAAATAATTCATTACAAAAACTTGTATATGACTAATGTATATAAATAAATAGAATAAATAATTAATTAGTTGTTGGTTAGTAGACACAACATCAACCAGACTGTTCTTCCTCAAAAGCCTTGTAAACAAACAAAAAACATTAAAACATTTAAAAAATTATTAAAAACATTAAAAAACATTAAAAAACATTAAAAAACATTAAAAAAACATTAAAAAACATTAAAAAAACATTAAAAACATTAAAAAAACATTAAAAAACATTAAAAAACATTAAAAAACATTAAAAAAACATTAAAAAAACATTAAAAAACATTAAAAAACATTAAAAAACATTAAAAAACATTAAAAAACATTAAAAAACATTAAAAAACATTAAAAAACATTAAAAAACATTAAAAAACATTAAAAAAAAACATTAAAAAACATTAAAAAACATTAAGAAACATTAAAAAACATTAAAAAACATTAAAAAACATTAAAAAACATTAAAAAACATTAAAAAACTTTAAAAAACATTAAAAAACATTAAAAAAACATTAAAAAACATTAAAAAACATTAAAAAACATTAAAAAACCTAAAAAAAAATTACAAAACATTAAAAAACATTAAAAAACATTAAAAAACATTAAAAAAACATTAAAAAACATTAAAAAACATTAAAAAACATTAAAAAACATTAAAAAAAACATTAAAAAACATTAAAAAACATTAAAAAACATTAAAAAACATTAAAAAACATTAAAAAACATTAAAAAACATTAAAAAACATTAAAAAACATTAAAAAACATTAAAAAACATTAAAAAACATTAAAAAACATTAAAAAAACATTAAAAAACATTAAAAAACATTAAAAAACATTAAAAAACATTAAAAAACATTAAAAAACATTAAAAAACATTAAAAAAACATTAAAAAACATTAAAAAAACATTAAAAAACATTAAAAAACATTAAAAAACATTAAAAACATTAAAAAACATTAAAAACCATTAAAAAACATTAAAAAAACATTAAAAAACATTAAAAAAAAACATTAAAAAACATTAAAAAACATTAAAAAAAAAACATTAAAAAAAAACATTAAAAAACATTAAAAAACATTAAAAAACATTAAAAAACATTAAAAAACATTAAAAAACATTAAAAAACATTAAAAAACATTAAAAAACATTAAAAAACATTAAAAAACATTAAAAAACATTAAAAAACATTAAAAAAACATTAAAAAACATTAAAAAACATTAAAAAACATTAAAAAACATTAAAAAACATTAAAAAACATTAAAAAACATTAAAAAACATTAAAAAACATTAAAAAACATTAAAAAACATTAAAAAACATTAAAAAACATTAAAAAACATTAAAAAACATTAAAAAACATTAAAAAACATTAAAAAACATTAAAAAACATTAAAAAACATTAAAAAACATTAAAAAACATTAAAAAACATTAAAAAACATTAAAAAACATTAAAAAACATTAAAAACATTAAAAAACATTAAAAAACATTAAAAAACATTAAAAAACATTAAAAAACATTAAAAAACATTAAAAAACATTAAAAAACATTAAAAAACATTAAAAAACATTAAAAAACATTAAAAAACATTAAAAAACATTAAAAAACATTAAAAAACATTAAAAAACATTAAAAAACATTAAAAAACATTAAAAAACATTAAAAAAACATTAAAAAACATTAAAAAACATAAAAACATTAAAAAAACAATAATTTCCATAAACGAACATTAAAAAAACACATTTTATTTAATCATCAACTAAAATAATAAAAATGTGTTTTTTAAATTAAGGTTTTTTATTTTAAATGTTCAAGAGTTATAAAGTGAATAAATAAAGTAAATAATTTATCAAAAAGAGCCATTGACATACTTTTAAATGATGGTCCGGAAGTTGGTTATATTGCGTTACAAGGTGAGTTCTAAACTGAAATAATGTTTTTTTCTTCTAATATTTACGTTATGCATATCTGATCGATATATACTCGTATATTTTTTTAATAATATAAGTAGGAATTCCATTTAATACATTTTTAAGGAGTATTAGATATACACTGAGCCAACGTGTAGTAATTATTATTGATTACAAAACAATGGAATTCGTAACAAAAGTGTGTGCTTCCGAGTTTGTCTTAGTAGAAGAAACCAAACAGCTACATGGATTTGTAAAACTGCGATCAATCATGACGAACCTGCTCTGGTGTGTAAATGAATGAACAGTACTAGACAGAAAAAACCCATATACATTATTTACTTTTGAAAACATTTTTGATCGTGTGCCGAAACGAAGATTACTACACAAGTTAGAACATCTTGGTTTACGTGGTGATTTACTTAAATGGATTGAGTCATTCTTAACTGACAGAAAATACTGCATTAAAGTTAAAAATTTGCATTCATTTGAAAGGTCAATCCTACAATGATCTAGGTATTATATGTATAACGGAAAATAGAAAAAAAAAATATATAGGTAATCGAATATTTTCCATTTAGAATTCTCTACCGTATGTAACTGGGTCAAATTTTTTGATGTCACATACAAGATTTTTTTAATTTCTGCAGTCTTCTTCTAACATAAACAGATTTTAAACAAGGACCATAAACATAATATCAGAGGTTTGCATGTGAAATGATCAATGAATCTCACTCATGTTGTTTAATTCCATCCTTAAAACATGTCTGTTCTTTTAAATAATTTTATTTTGAGTTTCCCATACGCTTTTTGAAGGATAAGAAATACATGATTAGAGAACCTTACTTTATTTTTGTTGGTCTTTAAATTTGAGGTACGATGGAGATGGAGAGTCACCAGTGTATTAGTTGGTATATAGGTAAATTTAAATAGAATATACGGAGAACGTTTTGGAAAAAGTTTCAGCTTTTCCCTTAGCGGATGTGATAATTCTTCTACCATTAGTAGTGAATGGTCAGGTCAACTGATCATTCCTCTTAAAACTTGACATTTTCAATAAGTACTCATTTAAAAATTGAAACAAAATTTGTTTTAGTCAATGTACATACTACATTGAATGAGATAAGGGTCATTAGGAAAAGTTTCAAAAAATTATTACACATATTAAACGACTCCAACTTCACCATATTTCGAGTTACCTACAAAATATAACTCATCAATCAACAAAAAGATCTTTGCTACATGTTCAATTTTTTTTAGGTGTTGGAATTATAGATTTCGAAAGTTGGAGACCGATTTTTCGCCAAAATTTCGGGACATTATCGGACTATCGAACACTGTCGATATCTATAGAAAAACAAAAACACCCTACGTGGCCTAATAATCAATTAGAAAAAGAAGCAACTAGAAGATTTGAAAGCAGTGCACGAAAATTTATGGAAAACACCCTATTAGCGGCTAAAAATGCCAGACCTTATGCCATTTGGGGATATTACGCTTATCCATACTGCTTTAATATGTCGCCAAATAATAAGAGAAAACAGTGTCCGAAAGAAGTTTTAGCAGAAAATGACAGGTAAATATCTTTATTTTAATCCTTTTGTAAGCTATGACCAATATATTATACTACCAGTAACATTAACATCCTTTTTTGAAAAATTTAAAAATCTAATATACTATTTAAACTTTAGTTCATAGGGAAATACACTTCTTTCTTTTATTCTTAACAAGTTAAAATATGATGTTCTATTTTCTCATCTGTATTAATATTATGTACATCTTATATACTATATTTTATGGAGGTTATGAATGAAAACATGTGATCGAAATAGGATAAGATCTTGTACTGAAATCTGGATATCGTTCTGGCTGTCAATGCTAAATTAACTATAACAGCAACTTTAAGCAACATAATTATTTCACTTTCTTGTAATGCATTCTTACACTTTTTTTTATTTTAGACAAAAATGGCTGTTTCAGCGGGTAGATAATTTTTATCCATCCTTATACTTCGAAAAAGTGAGATTGAGTGCAAATGACAAGATGCAAATGATTGAGGGACGTATTGAGGAATCAATGAGAATCATAAAAAATATTAGTAAGCGGAAAAATATCATTCCATATTTTTGGTTCAAATACCAGGATAAACAACAGGAATTTGTATCAAAGGTAAAACATATATACTAAAACTACAAGCACTGCTCCTGAGGAGCAACCACTCCTAAAAGACAATGGCATGGGCGTGGCCAGAATTTTTTTCAGGGTGACGAAAGTACAAATGGGTGAATCTATTCTTAAAACATGATAAGATCCGATCATTTAAGTTTATTCTCAATAACTGGTTGACACAAATTTCAATTTTAAAAGTTTGCTTCATTATTTTGCAAATTTCTAGGGACGAGAACTGCCCCTCTTGATTTTTGGTGGCGGCCATAGACAGTGCTATTTATAATAATAACAACTCTCCCTAATTCACCCCTTATGAATGAATTTCAATCACTGAAACCGACAGCTAGAGCGAGTTGTGTAGGGGAAGGGACGGTTATTATTATTATTATTATTTGCCGTGGCACTCCGGGGCGACTTAAAGATGATTGATGGCGCCATTTGACTTACAGGTGAAGAAAACCCACCCACCATCATCGAAAGCGATAACGCATGGCGATTTTTATAATCTGGATGTCATATTAACAGAAATTAAATTTCTGCTAATGCAGTATATCCATCCAATCCTATAGAACCATGCATATAAATTCACATTGTCTTCTGTAGGACTCGAAACCCGTGTCTGTTTTATCACAAAATTGGCTCGCAAATGAATGCGGCGCCGTAGACACGTAAGCTACCGTAGCAACAAAACCTGCAAAATCAAATGATTATAGGCTATCACTGGACTGAACAGTTATCAAAATAAATAGTCGATTATCGATTAATCGAAAATAATAGATTAATCAATCTATTAATCGATTATTTTGCCCTCTTCTCTCTGGAATACTGAGATATATTAGAAGTTGCTTTCGCATTAACAATTCAGAATTGATAATGAATCGGGCATGCGTGCAAAATATGAATTATTAGTAGTTCTGAATCAATTTACGATTGTTTTACCGCGAACGAAGCTATTAACTACACTTAATACAAACCCAAATTAAAAAACAGATTTAAAAAAAGTTATTAAAATATATTGTTTTAATATTTTAAACTATAATTATTTTATTTTAAGAGCAAGCTAGTGTGATTGGGTGTTTCGTCTAAAAATTACTCCTCAAAAAACAAGAAAATAAAAATAAATAAAAACTTAAAAATATTTAATTAATTTTCAAAGAAAGTTGTTATCCACATTTTTATTAGATTAAAAGAAAATTTAATTTTTTTGTATTTCCTTTAAAGTCGATTATTAGATTAAATGATTAATCGAAAATAATCGAGAATAATCGATTAATTGAAAATAGTCAATTAATGATAAGGAATTGAAAAGTTTTACTAAACTATTTTTGTTAGATTCTGACCATACTCAAAAACTATACAACAAAAATGAGATAAAAACAAAATAGATTGATTCAAACGTAAAATTAATTATTTTTGCAGGAAGATCTCTTTAATTCCTTCAGTGTCCTGGCGAGTTCGAATATAAATGGACTGATTATTTGGGGTAGTAGTAATGATGTAAATACAAAGAAAAAGTGCTTTGAGCTTTACCAGTACATAGACAATTTACTAGGACCGTTGTTGGTTCACATCTTTTAATTTATTTATTGATAATAGTGATATAAATTGTTGATGATTGCTTGAGAAACACTGCCATTGTTATTAAATTTGTTGTTATACTGTTAGTCTTTTTTATTTTTAAATTAAATTGTATGGTGCTACTGGGTTCTGCAGAACAAATTATGTACATATCAGAGATTAGGGACATAAAGATTGGAAACGCAACGACCCCCTCAGAGTAAGTAAGTAGTAAAGAGAGGACAGTAAACAATGTTTGTGTCGCCATGATAATATGGTCGAGAATTCTAATTAGAGAGAAATAGATTAATATCTCTATCTCTTTGTTTGTATTTGTCAGTTTGACAAAGCTTTTCTCAGACAATTATTCCAGTGTTTAATTTAAATTTGTTCGTGTTGTGGTGTTAAAAGTAATTGTTATTAATATTATATTCATAACAAAAAAGTCATATTTTGTTTTCACTTCATTAAAACATTTTATTTTATATTCTACTTGGTCAACATTTTCGCATTTAAAATGACCCAGCGAAATTGTTTTACGGTACGCTACTGCTGAGAATTCAAAAACGAGTGAGAAAGCCTTCATTAGAAAGAGAGATACTGATTATATGATAGCGACATTAATATTGTATAACTTTATGCAGTGGTGGCCTATCTGCTATTATATTATCTAAGACGACCCCAGCAACGATGGCGTCATCTAGCGTCTCAGATGTTAACTACAGATCTACGTCGTTTGTAGAGAGACCAGTGTTGTCAAATATTTTTTTGAGAGATCGTACGAGTAGAAAAATAGTATTTCGACAAAAAAATTGTACAATAAATACATGCATAACATAATATAACTTAAATGGAATGAAAAAATAAAAAAAAACTGGCATGATAATTTATTTACGTTTACAACGCAAAAAAAAACTAAAGAAAATACATGAAACTTTAAATTAACATAAGTAATCAATGACAATCACTTAAAACTGATTAAAATTTTGAATGAAAGCTTTTCTTATGCTGTGATAGTCAGTGTACAAAATTACCATGGTCAAAATCACGATAAGAAATTACGAACGGCCGATGAATCTTTGCAAGTAGTTTCTGATTTTTATTGTTTTATGTTCTGAAGTTGTTGCAGATATTTAAATAAACCATGGAGGTAGTATTCAACCCAAAGAAGTAGAGAGGGTAGAACGATAAGGTACCGTCTGCGCATCCATCACGAGTGTAGAAATTATGCGTGATTCAGCCTTCCACTCTTACACACGTAAATGACAAGGAGAGGTTGCCCTAAAGCACTGTAAACAAATTCCAGGATCGACTTTATTCAGCGATTATGTTCATGTTCAGCTCTGTTTTTTGTTTGTGTTTTGGCTGTTGTAAGCTTTTTTGGCGTCAATTCTTTGTTATCTTGCTTATATTTATGATTTTTTATGCTTTTATTCCGATTTAGTATTAAATTATACTTGTTAATTATTTTTCGATGCACTATTTTATAATTGTTGCACAATATGTTGTTAAACCGTCCCTGAATTTTGTTTACAAAATGTGCAAAACGAAATTGTGCATAGTGTCCAGACTTTTTCATTGACAGTTATCATTCTACCCCTCTCCACTTCATTGATTCAACCTCATTGAAATAAACCTCCTAAAAAAGTGAAGATCGTATATATTTTTACATACGATCTCACTGATGCAATCGTACATCGCCATCGTACAGAGAGTTAAAAAATCGTATAAATACGATTTAAATCATACGGTTGGCAACACTGAGACAGACAGTAGACGTGGACAGTTTGTAAAAATAAATGTCAGTTTTATGTATATCGAAGAATCCTGAATTTAAATTTAAAATTTTGAGTTCATGATTGTGTTATCCTCTAGATGAACTAAGCGAAATAGTTGTGGCTGGTTTTGTGTAAAATTTAAGGACAGTAATTATATTTTTGTAATATTACAATAAGTCGGAGAACGTATTGCATTAGTAACACATGCCACATGAACAAATTTAACAACCCCAATATGGCTTGAAAACGTTAGAAAAAGGATTTGATATAGGAAGAAAAATATCTGAATTCCCATTATTGAATTTGCACTCAACCTTTTTAAATAAGATACCAAAATAAGAACAAAAAAGCAGTGTTACAAATAACAATCAAAAATTTAAAAATATTTGTCATGAATATAGATTTACAATAATTAATCGATAATAGACTGTAAGTGTAGTATTCTTTTTAATAAATAATTTAGCGTAATTACATTGTTTAAGTTTATTTACAAGAACATGAGAGTGCAGTCGATATTTATGCAACCTTTATTATCAGGTTTTTGAATCTCCCGCTGTGTTGTTTGATATCGATGAAAGCGCCACATAGTGGGTCAGATGTTAACTGCAATAAAGCTGGTCGTTGTTTAGCATTGGCTTCTTATGGACGTTTCCTATCTTTATCTCCCTTATCTCTGGTACATGTGTTGGGATCGCAGCGCCGTCTATTGTTGACAATCGAACTACTCCAAAACAGATATGTATTTTGTAGTTTTGTGTATATTTTGTTTTATATTGTGCTTTTTAAAGAAAAAAAGTCTTTCCTTTTTCCAGATTTATATTATTTGAATAACTTTTTGTTTAAAATTAAGGTCACAGTACGTCAACCCCTGCTTTGCTTGATTACTACATATTTAGAACTTTGTGAGTGGCTTAATTTTTACTACACTTTTCCTCGACGAAACATATATAATCCGGAATTAATTATGTGGTAATTAGAAACCATGACTTCATTATTTTGACATGTTACAGCCGGTGTACTCATCGATCGCCGAATTAATTCTGCTGGTCAAGCCTTTTTTCGCGTTTATTATTAAATGATCTTTCAATTGCGCTGCAAAAAAAGAACAACTTTTGTTGTAGCCGACTTGTTCTTGAAGAACCAAACTGATGATTGTTACTTTTTTTCGGGATCATATGTTTCATCGCCTGTAATGATGTTGTACACCAAATTAGACGATCCATAGTGAAAGCAATCTATGGTCTTCTTTTCGAACTAAAGTCAGGTTGAAGGGAATGTAAAATCTTTAAAGTTGCTTGAATGTTTCTACAAGTGATGTTCCGAATTAGATCAATATTTTTTATGTAACTGCCGTTTTTGGCTTAGGAACTCGAAAACTGTCATTTAAGGAAAGTCGTCCACGTTGAAATTTATTTTATCAACGCTCTACGGTAGAGAAGGAACACGACTTGTCACCAAGCACTCGATTGAATTTCTCAAAACATCATTTACGATTTAAGCAGCCACGCTTGAAATTGTAAAAAATCACAGTCCGATAATATGATCTTATTCATTTCCATCACTTATTGGCAAAAGGATTACTTTTAACTTATATAACTTACAATCTGGTATATTTGACAACTGTCACTAACTAAACTTGTAAACAACTAAATTAAAAAGACACACAAAATTTGTTGTAAAAATATCATCGCATACTAGACACATGTAACAAACAAAGACCACTGAGCGGCGCAATACCTATTCCGTTGCTTCGCGCACGATGCATCAAGCTTTAGCAGAGCAATGGACGACGGAGGAAGACCCAAAGAAAGATGAAGCAATCATGTAGACGGACATAGAAAAACTTGGGATCAGAGTGTGAAGGAAAATTACCTATCAAGCCCCGGAACCGTAAGACTCACAGTCTAGGATGTCGTATATGAATAGCGGGTGTTGTTCAACTGAAATTATATTAAGGTGCATCCAGACTTGATTATTTTAACCCGAATAAACAGGGCACATATATTATTGAGGCCTACGCTTGCCGTTTAAATACAGTGTGTGAGGTTCTACTGAAATCAAATTACCTACTCCCAATGATATTTGCCTACCAAAATTTCAGTGACATTGACGACTCTACTAACTGAATACCTGCCCCGAACAAGGTTGTAACCAAAAATATTTCAGAAATAGTGGTAAGTATGAAATAATATTTTAAGCAACAATATAGTGCGATCCTTACTTCAGTCTGCCTTAAAATTCATATTATTGAGGGTCATTTTAGCTCAAAAAAGTTGCCTCGGTCAGAACAAAATTATAACATCAAGAACGTTGTTGTTCTGAAAATGTTTTCTGTAAAATTTGTTTTTTGATGGTTACAATCTTGTATGGAGCAGGTATTCAATTATACGTTAGTAAGCGTAAGAAAACTAAGACACAGTAGGTATAAGTAATAAAACAGTAGTTACAGTTCACTGGAAAGGGGTCCATATTTTTCTATGCATGTCCGTAACTGCATCAAACATATGATACTATAAGGTACCTATACACAATCAGCCATGATGAGCCATTCCATAATGAGTCATCATCGATTTCGTCATTGCGCTGTCATTCTCACGATCTCGTCGATCTCCCATATTCATTTACTTTTTGTCCATTGTTAATAACAAAACTATAAAAAAAGAACTGTTCATCGAAATCTTCGTGATTTTTAAATTTTGGGTTCCGAATCGTTGGTTCGCTCCGATCCAGTTCTATAAATTTAAATGTTTGATCGTTAGTCCACGCCGCCATTGTAAATTCTTTAAAAATTGTTACTTGGTATCTACAATGATGACGTATTACGGTGCGAAGGCGTAGCTTTTACGAATTTGAGGTATCAGCTAATCGAAAACATCGCGCCCAAATAAATTTTAATCTGTTCATTGCCATCACAGATAGCCATATTCAGCACCACACTACGTCATGCGTGAAATCGATGAGATTTCATCGGCTAAGTATCATGGCTCCGATTTTTTTTATATCATGCGTCAAACCGGCGTGTGTTTAGTGGCGGCTCGTGATAATACGAGATGGTAGTGCCAGATTTTTAACAAATGTGAAAACCCCGCCGAAGGCGAAAATTTTTTTGGGGGTGCCACGCCCAAATTTTTACCCAAAAGTCGTTTAAAAAACTGGCTTTGGGGAAAATTTATTACGGTATTGTCAAAATAGATATAAAATTTTAATTAAAAAAATAAATGGGTGACACAAAATTAATCGAAAACATTTGATCGAATACATTTGATCGAAAACATTTGATCGAATGCATTTGATCGAAAA